GTTCCCTAGTTGGGTCACGAAACGTCTGCAAGAAAACCACCCAGCTCAGAGAGCACCACACACGGATAAGGTGGTTTTACTAACCCTTGTCCCAACAGGCACCTGGTCACAAGGACAGAGGAGGCTGGTGGAGAAATCTTTGGGCCTCCTCAGCTGATCTCTTCCTCTGCCCTTACGGATAGGAGTAGAGTTTTACTACATGCCACGGGTCTCTTTTTACTTCTGGAGAACAGATGGTTGAGAGCTAACATCTCTGATACACTGACACTTAAAAGAGGAAGAGGAAGCAGACGAAGTTTCTTAAAGCAGTTTTCGGCAGAACACCCTCTTGGCACGCGATTTCAGGACCAGGAGAGTTGTGGGTTACTCAGAAGAGTATCTGCAGAGGATCTGCCAGCTCCCAGCAAGGAACGCACGGAAGATGTCCTGATCACTTTATCTAATTAATGGAGCTACTGGGGAGAGGTGGGTGGGTAAGAGTGATAGGGAAGGGGGCATTTCAAATAGTGCAATATCTAAAGGGGTTTCCAACCCCCCCAAAAAATAAGAACGAAGTCCAGATGATCCCCTTGCAGTTTGGGGAGGCGGGGTCATCCTCTGGTTCCCCCTTGGTCATTATTTTTTTAAAAAAGAGAAGATGGGATAGATGAACTTACGGAACCTCTCGGTTGGCGGTAAGGTGCTTATTAAGCAGGAAAATGCGGGCACTGGAGGCTTTTTAAGGAGGGCCTGGACACCCCTGTGTCTAAAATGGTACTATAGGGCCTCCTGCTTGAGCAGGCGGGTTGGGCTGGATGACCTCCAGGAGCTCTTCCAACTCTGTTCTTTTATCTTCTGCGATTCCTCACCGAAGGACAGAAGAGTTGGGTGTAGGAATGTTCTCCCACTCTCCAAAGGAGGTTTTGGGGGGGCTGGAGAGATGGGGGAAGGAATAGGGGGGAGGCCAAGAAACCCCCCCCCAAAAAAAAATTCTAGGCCAAGAACCCCCCCTGCAGCTATGGAGACCTATCTACTCCAGAGAAGAACCTCAACACATCCTTCGGAAGTTACGAGTTCTCCAACCCTGGAGGGTTTACAGTCGAGATTAGACAACCGTTCGTCTAAAATGGTACAGGGTTTCCTGCTTGAGCAGGGGCTGGACTAGAAGACCTCCGAGGCCCCTTCCAACTCTGATTATTCTGTTAAGGTGCTTGGTTGGTAAATACGTATCTCCTCCATCTGAGCTCCTGAATTCCTTGGAGATGCACTATGGGTCACCCTTGAGATAAAGGTGGGGCAGCTGTTTTATTTTGTGTGTGTGTGTGTGCGTGTGTGTGTGTGTTTTGAGCTGCCTCCAAGGGTCAGGAGGAGAATATGCCGAAGGCAGAGCGAAGGAGCTGCCAAAACTTTCAGCGGAACAGGTGTGGCCTGAGAAGAGACGACAGAAGCGGAAGAACGAAGGCTGTGTACCGTTCAGCAGAGATGACAGCCCTAGATCTAACCACTGGACATGGGTGCCAAGTACGTTCAGCCCGGAAAGGGAAGAACGTCAGGAAAGACCTGCCTTTTGTGAATCGCCATGCCACACCAGCAGGAAGACAGACCCTCGGGTGGAAATGGAGGATCCCTAAACTGCCTAAAGCCCCTCAAGTGATGACATTTCCAGCTGGATGAATGGTCCTTAAGAGGGAGAACATGGGAGATCCATCCTTCCATCTATTCCTGCATTCCACCATCCATCTATCCGTCCCACCATTTCTCCATCCATCCATCCATCCCATCATCCATCCCTCCATCCCATCCATTCATCTATCCATCCCTCCATCTTTCCATCCATCCCATCATCCGT